TTTTTTTTTTTTTTTTTTTTTTTGGTTCTGATGATTGAAGCCAGGGTCTTTTCATTGAGATACCTTCTTAGCCTTTTTTATTTTTTATACTGATAGTCTCAGTAAGTTACCCAGGCTGGGGCTCAAATTTGATCTTGCCCCAGCACCATGGCCTGCTATTTTTTTTAAAACTAGTGACTGCCTTATTCAAGGTGTCACCAACCCCAGTGCCCATTCCTGAGCTGTGGCCAAAGCAGCTCTCCAGCATAGGCAGAAGAACTGCTCCTAAGTCCTCCAAACCCACACACCCACTCCCATGTACCAGGCCCATACAGCACATCCTGCAAAGGCAGGGGGAAAACTCTTGCCCTTTTCTGAAGAAGTTCTGAAAGTCTTTGGTGTGTGGGGTGATCCAAAAATATGAATGCTGCTGTCAAGTACTGTCCAACAGAAAGGCCTACTTGTGAAAACACTGCAGTAATCGGTTTTCATCCATGTTGTTCACCAGATCTGGCACTGTGGGACTTCTGGGTCTTCACCAAAGTCAAAATTACCATGAAAGATAAACATTTTGAAGATTGAGGACATCAATACAACCACAGCTGTACATCTAAAAAGACACAAAAATTGACATGCAAAACTGCTTCAGGAGAAGCTGCAGGAGACAAAAGCAACTACAGGACACGTTAAAGGGCTTGACAAGTGTCCCAAATTTCCCCACATATGCCCTCCTACTCACTTGGCCCCTGATAAGAATAAGGATGACAGGATAAGTTTGGGGGATTAGAGTTAATAGCAATGTATCTTGTATAATTTTTTAAATTTAAACATTCACCATATTTTCCGATCACCCCATTTTTTTTTTCAAACTTGTAGATCCTAGTCTCATTATGTGACTAGAACAAGCACAGGTGGGGCTTTTTTTCTTCATTGACTTACTCCCTAGAGTGATGTTGACACATAGGAGTCACACAGTGGAGAAAACTATACTAGATATTTTGTTACCACATTGGATGGGTTATTCCTGATACTGTGGATTTCGTGTCTCTTTTGTTTCAAAGAGCAATCATCCGGGCTGAATTCTTGGTCAAAATTCCACAAAAGGAATTTGGCTTGGCTCAGATCAAGAGCTGTTAGGACTCCACAAGTGAGAGAGGCAGGAATATTGCATAAATAGAGCTGCCCTACATCCACCTAAGTGATTTGGTAGATTGGGCCAGAAAAGGAGTGATGAAAAACTCCAAAGGTGTTCTCTGTGACATCTGCCCCCTCCCAAATCTGTACCAGCTGTAAACATCAGTTGTATTGTCTGTATGACTGTACCAAGTTCTTGTAGCTGTTACTGTTTCCATTAGTTGGTGGTCTAGTAATCAGTGTTCGTGTCTTTTAACAATCAAATAGTTTGAATATTCTGCTTGCAGAGCCCCATGAAGCACATGTGGAGTTTTTATATATATAATTAGAAGTTAAATCAATGGGTTATCAGCTCTGTACATACTTAATTTTGTAAGGTTGTGAACGCTTTTGTCAGTAGTGGGATCATTTTTGCTACCTCTGTATTTTTTCCAAAATAAGAGTGGGTCTTATATTAATTTTGGCTCCAAAAGATGCAATAGGGCTTATATTCAGGGTATATCTTTTTTCATGTACAACAGTTTACATTTGTATATCTACAAACATCTGCATTTATTCAAATATAGTCATGTTGTCTTCTAGCACATCATCATAACTCCCAAATTCCAACCTGAATTCTTTCAACTCCATTTCCTGTAGAATCATTAGTCCCAGTCTCATGTCCAGCAATAGAGTTCTCAAATGAGCACTTCTTATCCAGCCAGCCTCTCTTAGGGTGTCATTACAACAAATGACATTGAAGTAGAAGATTAATATTAGTATCTCATGTCTATATGAAATGTGCATGGTACTCATGCATTGTGTCTGTCTCAAGCTGGTCAGTAAATATAAGTCTCAAGTTCATCTGTGTACATAGATGTTTACTTCTCGTCCAGAGGCACCCCGTTGGGTATTTACAAATAATTAAAATATATATTATCAAGTATTAATGCCAATATATATTACTATGAAATTGAATATCCATTATGTGTTAGGTGGACATACTGAATGTAATGTGACCATCTGCCTGCCAGTCTTACTTGGGGCTTATTTTTGTGGTGAGGCGTGTATTATGAGCATCCTGAAAAATCATGCTAGAGCTTTTCTAGGTAGATCCTATTTTAGGGAAATACGGTAAGAACATCATGGTCTGTACATATAGTGCAGAAGATGACCATGTACCTGCTTTTGCATGTAGCCCAGGCCTAACCCAGAAGAGTGGACTTTTTCCATTTATTTGGCCCGAATTAACTGTAGAGCCTGTTTCTTTTCCTACTTTAAAAAAAAACTTTGCTTCTGTTAAAAAATGGAAGCATGCAATTTTTTAGTAAAGCTGTGGTTGAGGTCTGGATAGTGGATAGATAAAAAGAGGAAGGGGACCTACTAGTTTATAGCCTGTTTGTTTAAATGCCTGAAGCCCTATCTAAGCCCCAAATTAGAGGCAAGAGAAGCATTCCTACCAATGTTCTCATTGCTAGACAGTTTACCCACAGTGTGTAATTTATCATAAACACATTTACAAAGTAGGTGATTATCCCACGTTTACATTTATTGAGGCATAGTAAATTGCCTGCATTCATGTTGCAGGTAAAACAATACCTGAGTTCAGATCAGGTCTGATTCTCAAGTACATTGACTTTATTTGCCAAAATAGTTTTAAAAACTCGGAATGAGAACATCCAGGAATTAAAGCCAAAACGTTAATGAGCTGCTTCCACAAATAGCTTTATTATTTACATGAAGTTTATGACTTGAATATACAAATTGTGTGAAACATTGAATTGTGAAAATTTGGGGATCTTAAAAGTACCATCACTAGGGGCTAGTGAGATGGCTCAGTGGTCTAAAGCACCTACTTAGAACAAGCTTAGCAAAGCACAGGGACCGCGGTTCAATCCCCCAGCACCATATGCCAGCCAGCCCCGCCCCCTGGTGGGCTGAGCTGGACACACACACACATAAATATTTTTTTTTTTTTTAAAAAGTATCACTCAACGACTTTCCCTTTTACATTACAGTATGTCCATCTACCTGGCACAGCTCATTGTGCCTGGTATTTTACTCGTGTTTATACCTGGCTAGAAAGTTTTAGAAAGCTTTATGCCACACTGTTTTCATTATTGTGGCATATTTTTCTAGACTCTCACTTTAAAATATAGTGCTGTCCATGTAGTAGATATTCATTAGTCCGTTATGCTAACGGCTGGAAATGTTAAGGGAAATACAAATCCTACAAATGAGAGGATCCTCAGGAAAAACCACGAAATAAACCTGAAGCTGCCATTTCCTATTTTCACAACCAGTTGAGACCTCTTGACTCCTCCCATTTAATGGCCTGGAAGGAAATGTCTAAGTCCTTTGTCAGGAACAGCTGCTTCCAGATAACCTCTCAGTGCAGCGATTTTTGTTTTCGTCTTTCTCTGCGAAAATCTAAGAAAAAAGGGAACTAACGCTTGATCATCAGCGTTACTGATTAAGGAGCTAACTTGCTTTTTAAGTAATTATAGCATCAGAAATTCTGGAAGCCATCTAAGATTGATGTAAATGTAGTTTACCCACCTGGAATATGAGGCAGTAATTACTAATGAGAGACTAGCAACAGGAAAGGAAGGGGTGATGTGTTGATACCAAAGTGGAGGGGGGCAGTTAATAGTATTGTTAGAAAGGCAAGGTGTTGGGAGGGGGAAGCCGTGAAGCATCCTCTTAATTTATTCAGCACGCATCTGTTAACTGCACACTTCCTGTACCCCCCAGGCCGTGGGGACCCCCACGATGAAGGGAAAAAAGTCCCCATTGTAGACTATGTAGAGCTTGCTAGCACTTTACCCCTCCTTATAAAAACTTTTTTTTTTTTTTTTTGGCGGAACCGGGAATTGAACTCGTGCCCTTGCGCTTGCCAGAGAAGCGCTTATTCTACTGAGTAAAAACCTACTTTGTCCACACTGTTGTGGTTTAAGCGGCTCTCTGTTGTGTTGTGTAACTGAACGTGTGTGTCTTCTGCGCCGCAGCGCTCGCTTCTGACTCCCTGTGTGCGGGCCTCGGGCCTGAGAGGTAGGGATGAGGGAACGACTGCAGCCTCGGCCCAGCACTGCGCACCGTCTCTTCGGAGAGAGGCCAACGGGCTCAACACCTACAGCTCGTGAAAGTGTCGGGGGAAACGGGACGCGCGTCGGGAGGCCTCGCGCGCGCCCGAACCTCGCCGGGGGCGAACGCGGCGGCCTAACGGCCGGAGGGGACGCGGCGCGCGACCCGCTGTTTCGCCGAGGGGAGGGGCGAGCCCCGCCCCCGCGCTCGGCCCTGCGCGCTGATTGGTCCTGCTGGCCGCGCGCCCCCGGGCCGGCTGTGCGCGCCAGCTGTCTTGAGTGGAGCGCCGGGCGCGCAACGGCCCGAGGCTGGAGCTGAGGCTGAGGCAGGGCGGCGCCGGCCGGCTCTCGCTTCCTCGCCGGGGTCCGCAGGTACCTTGGCTCCCACCCCGGCGTCGGACCCGCGGGCGAATGTCCAGCGTCGGCTGTGCCCTCGGTTTCCCCTCGCGGCAACCGGCGCCCACCTTCGTGAGGGGCGGCGGCGGCGGCGGCTTGGTCCTTCGCTCGCTCCGCCTGGTGAAGCCCTCAGGTGCCGTCGCGGCCCGGGTTTGGGGAAGAGCGGAGGCCGCGGGGCTGCGGAAGGCGGCCGGGCCGGTGGGACCGGAGGGCGTGGGGCCGACGGGGCGGGCTCGGAGCGGCGGCGCGGGGTCTGAGGAAACCCCGCGGTCTCCTCCCGGCAGCGAAACGCTCGCCGCCCCGCGCCCCCCTCAGAGTCCGAGCTGCGGTCTCGCGCAGTGCTCTGTGCTTAGCGCGTTGCTCAGAAATGTGGAAATGAGTTTTTCCAGGACAGCCAACACGACTGGAAGCTTCGCAGCCTCAAGCAGAAAAAAAATCTTCAATTTTACATTTTAAAGATTATGCTATTCTGAAAGTCAGGTCGTCCATGACTGCTTATATATTCTGTTAACATAAGCATGCTTTAAAACCCCGGCCAGCTTTGTTATTAATAAAAATTTGACATTGAAGTTATGTTTAGTAGTTGAGGTGAACTTCACCTCACATAGGCGAACTGTTCTTTCGTGAAAGATACCCAGACTGTAAGAGATGAGGTAATGACGCTGCTTCACACCCGTGTGCTAAGCCTTCGGGCAGAAGCAGGACTGCAGGTTGGAGCCCAACCTGATTAGCAGCTTCATGAGACCCTGTCTCAGGAACAATAAAACTTGGAAGGGAAGGGGACAGGATGCAGTTTATGGTAAGGCCGGAGTCAGCCCTTAGCAATACCGCAGAAGAAAAAGAAAACTTAATGAAATGTTTTAAAATTAAATGAGAGCAAGTTCACAGTGGCTGGCACATATTAAATAAGTGCGCAGTGTTTGGTTACAGTCATAAGGAAGCTAAAACTCACCTCCCTTCCTGAGGTGCCAGTGGATTTTCTGTTAGTTTTTTGTACAAGCAAATGAATTCACAGATTACTTCTGCCTCTGTTTTATGACCCTTTACATTACCTGACGGAAAAGATTATTTTAGATGCTTCTGGAATTGAAGTACGTTTACAAAAAATAAAAATTGCAAGCATCCTGTGAAAGTATGAATTTGGGTAGTTGATGGTGATGATTTGCAGTCCTGGGGATCCAACCTAAGGTCTCACATGCCAGTCGGGGGCTTTATACTACTACACCTCAGTGCTGTGGTTTGATATTTTATGTTTAATACTTATTTATTTATTTGTACCGGGGATTGGATTTAGGACCTTACGCTTGCCAGGCAGGCACTGCACCACTGAGCTGAATCCCCAGCCCTGATACATATATTTATGAGCAGAGTATATTTATTGGGGGAAAGAAAGCTGTCCAAGAGAGGGACAGGAGGGGGTCCTGAGCGGGATATCCCCCAAAAGTTGAGAAGGATTTTTTTTTTTTTGGCGTGGGGCTGGCTCAGGGAGGATCTAGTGTGGCATGTGGAGCTGGGAATCCAGCCGCAGTCCCCAGCGCCTCACTGGGTTTGCCCATGCAGGCGCTTCATTATGCCCAATCATATTTTCCATTCCTTCCTTCAGCAGGGAATCTTCTCAGGGTCAGGAAGGAGAACTATACCTAACTCTGAATACCCCAGGGAGGTGTGGCTGCCTGTGTCACTGAGTCGTGGATTCAGAGCTTCTCATTAGGGTCTGATTCACCTTTTGATACTTTCATTTTTCTTTCTTTTTTTT